GAGGTACAGAAAAAAGAATTTGTTGGTCTCTCATACAAATTGAAATTCATTATTAAATTATTTTTTAACATTTTCACAAGCTGGTGAAAGCCTTTGTCTAGTGACCTAATTTATTTGTGCCTTTACATTTCTCATAGCAGTGACTTAGTCTTCATTCGACTCCATAGATCAACAGAAGTGGAAGATACGGCAGAAGCGTGTGGCTTGATTTAGACCAGTTTTATAGATTATCATTATAACACATGTAGTTTATAAATTAACTAGCTTCCGTCACATCTTAGACAGTTTTTCAAATTTCAGCATGTCTCTGCTTGAGAAATTTTGTAAAATGGCGTAGAAAACATTTTCTTTACGCATACAAAACGTATTAGTTAACGATATACGTAACGTTAACGTATTAGTAAACGAAAATGCCGCACTGGTTTTTAAATGGCGTAGTTATTTGCTAAAGTAATTCCCTTTTAAACCGTTCTTCTAATTTGCTTATACTTTTAACATTTTTTTAATACTTATGTTCATGGTTCATACGGTTCAAGATAATTAAAAAAGATTGTGTAAATTTAATTTTTATTACATCAAGTAATATCAATTTAACATACAAATTCTTCATACATCTAAACAAGTAAGGATTATTCAATGTAAACCGCATTCACTCCATGAAGATTTCAATGCCTGCACAGAATAGCATCCGTTTACAACAGATAATCTTTATTAGGTTACTTACTGATACATTAATAATTGTCGATACAAATATTTACAACTAAAGTCTAGTTATTTTAATTACATATATGATTTAGGCGTGTGATAAAACATAATATGGGATGCAATATTCAGATCAAAGACAAAAAATCTCTCCATTTTCCTCCAGTAGAAGACATTCATTTGAATAATTCGGTTCACATAATAAAACATAACACGTACACCCGAATTAGTTCCTATCTAGTGCGTCACAACCCTTATAGCCATTCTTTAAACCTTTACCAACTAATATCATTTATTTATAATATGCTACGAAGATATTTTATTTTTATCAAAAGCCAGCGATTAGCTTTAATTATATTGTATTCAGTAGGTAACCATAGTATGAGTTTTTACAATTATTTTGAATATTGTCGTTATCCCATACACAATTTTGTAAGCTACCTTTTACTTAGTGTCACTAATCTATATATCTATCAACACTCATTAGTAAACTCATACTAGGGTTGTAGTTAATATAGTCATGTTAAAAAGAAATACACAATGGGCCAAGTTCATTTTTGATATGGCTTTACTAGTTTAATATTAACTTCCAAATTACCCTGTAAATGTTGGTTACAGAAGTCGAGTCTTTTGTCTCCCGTAAATTGCATTAATAAATTATTTGCATAAAAACTTTTTTACACTTGATATCAAGCTATAGCAAGCTGTACTATAAAAATCGACTTAGTAACAGCTTGATGTTAAGCATCGCTTACTTATTTTAGCTAAAAGTAATTGTCATATTTCAGCTTCAGACGAACATCGTGCAATTTTGGCCCACTCTAGTCCTAATAACATTATTTCATACATTTCAACAAAGTTTAAATCAAAAGACATTTGTACACATTTAATAAAATGGTAAAAAAAAATCAGACTTAGTTTTTTACGACACCAATGAAGAAATCTCTGTACATTTGAAATTGATAATATTATAACATTAACCACAAATAACTGTATTTACAATATATAGCTACGTTGGGACCATTCCAAAAACATAATTTTACTAAAAATGGTACTTTATATTCGGTACAAACCAAAATAAAATCCTTAATTCAACTGATCCGCGGTAGCAATCATTGCATCCTTCATCGACTCTGCAATGAAAATACTGTACATATTATAAATAATGTGTATAAAACATTAGTATATAACCATGTTGGTTTATCTGAATAGAATTTGATCTTGTTCTTAACAGATTTCATAAACATGTTTTAAGAGCTGCCTGCTATTTACTACCTACATAAAGTTAAATTTGTTGATAAGGGCTTAGTAACTTGCGTGTATGTGTTTAGTCCATGTCTTTCGAGAAATTGCCAACTGCCAACAATTATGCGTGGCGAATTAATTTTGTGCCCTATGCACTCATGGGGTCTGCTAGCGAACAATATCATTAATATAGCATTTTTTTTATGGGACTAATCCCACCCACACGCCCACCACTGTAACTCCTGTACACCAGGATCCACAGCAGTGACCCACGAACACACCGAGTTATGACACTCGGGAAGTCCCAGGAAGAAATAACTGTCTTGGAACCCGCAACGAAATTAATCGGAAGAAAATTGGAGGAGTTGGAAATATATAATAAATATAGCATAATATAGCATTGCAAAGCTTTAGAGTTTAGATAAGTACTGATACAGGGTGTTTGTTAATATCGACAGAGGTTTAGAACTCTCCCGGTGCTAAAAAGCCTAAGCCCGAGAACGGTCTAGGTGCCGCAGGCGGATCAGGTGCAGGAGCAGGGCTTTAGGCGCAGGAAGGGGACACCGCGTTCCCCACACAGGACATACAACGCGGGGGCTATCTTTAAGCTGTAGAGGTCCCGGGGTACCGTAACCATCCCACCGGTCGTCCTGTGTGTGTGAAAAAAGTTTTGCTTTCAGCAACTCAGCACGTCTCGTCTTCTGACTTTCATTAAAACTAAATGGAAACGAGATGTGTTCTTTATCCAGTCAGACATCTATTGCGGTTTACTACAACGTGATTAACCTCAAAAATCAGGAGTTCCTGCACAAGCAATACATTGTATCGTTGTTCGAGTGTTGCTTTGTTAAACTGATTAATAAATTAGCTAGGTAGATTTTGGAATCATATTTTCCAACCTGTAAAAAATTTGCAGTGCGATTCAATAACTTACGAGAGCCTACCTCATATAAATAGTATTGTATATTTTGAATAGGTATAGTCTGCGGGAGTGACTAAAAGATGTTCGCGATATCCCAGCTTTGCGTCAGACCAAGTTAAAACAGCTGTTACCTCGTCATCGACGCTTAAACATGGTGCGAAAAAAGCTGAGATATTGCGTATTAATGTTCATCGGTCATCGGTTAAGCAATTAAGGCAGCCGCAAAATAAGCCATGTTCTTCAAGGTAGCAAAAGTTATGAGACAAATCCTAGTATGATCTAAGAATAAGCTAGTTGCCATGTGGAAGTGATCACTGGGTGTAAATGACATCTTAGGTCCATTGCAAATTAAACACATCATATTTTGTTATATATCAATGACAATTATTTATACAACAATTTTAAACTATACCTCTTTTTATTTTATTATACCTAATATCATTGTAGTAAAAAGAAGGCATAATCAAAATTAAAGATCAGTCTTTATTTAGGAGGCCATGATTAAATCAAAAAATTAAACTATTGTAATTTAATAACAATACTCTGGTAAAATATATTTTTAGAGATTTTGCACGTCTTTTGTTAGTTAATTACAGTCAAAGTCGCATTATCAAATTATTGTTGCAATGAGGATATTCTTTTTAAAAATATATTTATAAGAGCAAGATAGACACACATTTGGATTGCTAAAAGATCAACAGAAAAGAGACATCGACGACATTCATCATCATATCACACGTATTCTGTCTATACTAATTATTATTAATGCGAAAGTGAAACTGCCTGTGGATTAAATTGCCGATCTAACTTTAATGCATATTGGTATAGAGGTGAACGATGGAGGTGTATGAAAGCAGACGAGTAAATTATTAGAAATTCTAATGGGAGTTTGTTTATTTTGCTTTAGCACCTTAACTACTCAACCAATAATTGAAATATTGGATACATACCCAGGGGTAAAGAAAGTACCAAGGATTTCCTTCCTAGGGTACACCTAGTTGCTCGGCTACTGGTACCCGAGACGGCGTGCGATTTTTATCAGTTCGAGTCTGACATAACCACCCAACCCACAGGTAGATAGAATCCGTGGGGAATTATGCACAGAAAAAAGTGGTAAAGAAGAAGCAAGGTTACCTTCCAGTTGAAAAAAAAAGATGATAGAAGTAATTTAGATTGCTTGCCATTGCTACAAAGCTAGCAGGACCCCAGGTTACTGGAACTTGTTTATGTAATAGTAGTATTAATGCTTCGAGATCCTTAGGGAATGTATAGCTTGTACACACATTTGTACGCTTACACATATATACACATACAATTTGACTTCCTAAACCCCTATACAGAAGTCCCAATAATAATGTATTACTCTGTTTTTCACCCACTAAAAAAATTCGTTATTGGTCATATGCTGATTAGTAATAGTGCACTATGTAAGCAATGCTAATAATAGGTGTGGGATATGTAAGACCAGGGCTAGAAAGGCTAGGCAGCTATGCTAAGAGTGACCTACCTTCATCTCTTTACATATTTATTAGAGAAATATTTTAATTGCAGAGCTTTAAAATTTTAATGAATCAGATAAAATTTAGACGGTCCCTGTAACTATTATTACTTTTGGTGTTGATACAAAATTTCTTTCAAGTGACTTTATATGTACAAACTAAAAGTATTGTTTCCCAAATCAGACCATAACCTTTTTTTATGTTTTAATAGGAAACATCCCAATTTACATAATTCGTTCAGTTCACTGAGCTTATGATTTTGGGCTGGGTTAAAAATAGAATATCTTATTAAACAGTTTAAGTACAAATGGTACTTTATTGAAGCATTTATTTTATGCACCTTTTTTGAGTACATTTTGGCAGTTAAAAAAGATGTTGGCCAATTCACCAAGTAAGGTACAGTCTTGCTTGAGCTTTAAATATTTTTTTAAAATATTGTCTTAATTAATGAAGCTTAAGTCCACACAGATCAACTCACCGTACAGATAGTCTATTTCTTCAAAAAACGTTTACATTACACATAGACAATTCTTTGACATTTGGTCGAATATACCACCTACTTACGTAAAATTAATGGTTTTGGAAACATAGCTACAATCTTAGGAACAGACATCACAAAGCTTATTAACAAATTACAGATCAACATTGACATTTTGTAATCCACTATGTCTTTTAGGATATTCATCATTACCATGACACTCCACTTTTCTCTTTTTTCTAGAGGCAAACCGCACACCAGTTTCCTGTACTACTTTTTCACTGTTTTGAATGGCAGATATAATATTTTCCTTAGATGGTGGTACCAGTTTCAACTCATCTTTACTCTCATTTACTGATGGTTCAACAAGGTGCATCACAATGCGCTCTAAACTCTTTGGATGTTCCACTGGAGCATCATCAGTGGCAGCTGGCTCATTCTGCTGCTTCACAGCATCTACAATAACTGAATACTTTCGTTTCATTTCTTCCATCATTCGTTGGCCATAATCCTCACCAATCACACTATTAACACATACAAAACTTTGAACTTTTTTCGTTGTCTTATCAATTTCCAGGAATCCTCGGGTTCTCATATATGTAAAATGTCCTGATCGTGACATCAATCTATAGTAAGATTCACCAAATTCTCTGCTTTCATCATACATTTGCCTCAAAACACATATAACCCAACGAACATCTTCTTTGTGCATGAACACAAAAGCTGAAGTACCAGTCACTTCTTCTGTCATATAACCTGCAGCCAAAGATATATTTTGATCGCACTGGACTATGCGGCCATCTATAAGATGCCTTGTCCAATATTCAGAGTAAGCAGTCGGTGGTAGGATTCGAGCTGGCAAAGCTGTAGATACAACATGAATCATCCCAATAAAGACATAATCATTTCCACTAGATGAAAATGTTCTATTAGTCCTAACTCGTTGTCTTCTAATAATTTGTTCATCTTGTACTCCATTTGAAGTGGCTCTATCAGATCTCCTCAATGAGCCATCTATGCGACATCGTTCATATCTAGCAGGGTCAGAGCGAGCTCCGGCTCTCATGATGCGAATGTGAAAGTTGTGGTGTTGTTCAAATATTCTATTTTCACAATGAGATTGCAGTTGTGTAGGGTAAATATGGTGCCGCAAGATTTCCACATCCTCTTGATGAACATAGTTGTAAAAATCTTGGCCCAATAGGTCGATATGAGAGTAGCCTAGCTTTTCTTGAACATTGGGTGATACAATAAATATACGCCCTCGGCATGTTACCCCAAACATAATACCACCAAGTAGGTCGAAGAACTTTAAGAAGGCTGGTGACCAAGTCTCAATGTGGCCACATTTTATAGTATCGCCAAAAACGTGTTCATTGCGGAGTTTATTAGCTGCGAGTCTCAATACACTCGTCTTATCAACTTTACGCTGTGAATGCACTATATCAGACAACAAAGACATCATTAGACTAATTTGTGAATTATATTGGCTACGACGTTGCTTTTCAGCTATGATACGAGCTTCTCGATCGCTGGCCTTGACGGCCGGTACACCTGGTGAATGGGATTCAGAGGAGGAATCCCCGCTATTACCGGCTTGAGGATCGTAGCTTATTGCCGGTGTTGGCACAGCCATAGTTAAACCAAACTCCGCTGGCGAGGCAGTAAGCCCTATTTGACCAGCCATTGATGAATGCATCCCAAGATGCGTACTAGTGCCGCCCGGCGACGTCATGAAGCCGACTGATATTACTGCACACAAATTGCGTCCTTGTCGGAAGCATTCATCACGATCCAATAACCTTACATAAACAGGGACCACTAAATTATAGATACGCACATAACAGGTTCATTTATTATGTTTATATTCCTAACTATTATCACATCACAATTAAAATAATAAATTCAGCACCGTGAAACTATACGCTCAGAACGAAGGATTCTAAGTTGTAACTTGTAACACTATCAGACATTTCAACCTGACTACACAAGACAATTTGATTGGATTGAATGCTTAAAACAGTGTTGCCATTGCCAACAGTTAAATTAACTCTCCACCACCACTGACAAAAAACGGCATTCGCAAAATTTTCCACTAAACTTTTTTTTAGTTATTACGAAAGAAAACAATAAGTATACTAAAAATTAGTTTCCTTGATTATTATATCGTATAGTAATACTAGAACTAGCAAAAAATAAATCAACATACAAATAGTAAATCAACAAGTAAAGATCAGGAACATTTACATATATTTTAGACGGGTCACCTGATGGTAAGTAACTACCGCCGCACCTGGATACCTCACAAGTCCATTGCCGCTCTTTGAGCCCCTCTCCTTAGAGTTAGGGGAGGGGGAGTTTTGGTAACCTAACTCACTCCGTGAAAACCAATGAAAGGCTAGATTTCTGGGAGACCATGGTATCACTCCAGTCGAGCGGGCCCATTCGTGCCAAACCATGGCTCTCCCACGGTGACTGTTTTGACTGCACCATCGTCATCGGTTTCAGATTAATACGATTCTGGTCTGGTACCGTTTTCTTTTACAACGGAAAATGCTGTATCGATAAAAAAATGTCAATCATTTTTTAATCGATACAGCATTTTCCTTCCAACCTCTAACTTCCGAACCAATATTGTCAAGTTTGATTTTTCTCCGGTGCCTTCTGGGGACATCATAAAGATCTTCCTGTTTGTTCGTTCTAACGCTAACATGATAGTTAAGATCCTGGATTATGTCCTCAAAATTATAGCCTATATTATTGACTTCTCTCTCGACACAAAGCCTACATCTTTCAATTGCCTAAAATTATTAATCCTTCTCTGCCTTCTATTCCTTTCTTATCAAAAATTCTTTGGGTTTGCGTACTCAACAGGTCTCACAGTTCATCTTTCAACATCATCTCCTATATCCTCTACAACCACTATTTCGCCACTAACAGGGTTGCTAGGCAGATAGGTTAGACGCTATTTAACAGTAAATCTAGTATTTTGAAGTGATAACTTCTTATGGGAGGGTAAAACGTTATGCGTTACGTCGCCAGTCTGTCTGGATTCCCTTTCTCTCACGCATACGGCATTGGCAGGTAGGCTCCTCCTCTCTCAACATTTTTCAGACTGACGCTTAACATAAAATTTAAGTAATAACCTGAGCTTTTCTCAAGTTAAACTATTTCAATATTAATAGTTCAACTTAGATTAGTTTAAGTTATCACTTCTGTGGGGCGTCCCGAGACGTACACGTTGTTTATTTTTAAATATTATGTAGGGAATGTAAATTAAAATAAATTATAGCTAATAATGGAAATTGGGAAACAACAACGGACCGAGTTTGAAATGACCATTGGTTTGAATGATATCAATCTTCATTTATCTTCTGCTACTAAACTGGATTATCACACTAAGTGTCGGGAGTTACCATCCTAATTTACATCTTCGAAGTAATAGTCGACACTATTGTCTTTTCTCTCGCCCTTGGAACCTTCATATCTCTCTCTCTCTCTCTCTCTCTCTCTCTCTCTAGCACAAAGCCTTCATCATCCCATTGGTTAAAATTGAAATCCTTCTCTTCCTGAGCACTTCCGTCGGATCTCCATCTATCCTTTCCTATCAATGTTTCTTTAGGTACACAAACAGTTCTCACAGTTCATCTTTTAACATCATCTCCGAGGTAATTTATATCCTAACTATTGCTACTAAACTACTAGACAAATCCACTAGCCACTAAAAGCAATATTTCGCCACTAACCGGTGGTTTGAAACCACCGACTTTAGTGGAATATCTACTAGGTTGGCAACACTGATTAAAAATGAAAATAGTGTGACAGTATTGCCAATTGAAAAAAAAAACGGTTTCATCTAACTGATTTGTTGAGTTAAGGTATCCATACACGGGCATATTTGTTAGAGAACACGGTAAAAATCCTACATGTCATCATTGTTTCCGCAGAGTTAAAGCTTTTTAGTTAGCTCAAAGTTATGTGAGGTTATTAAGTTAAAAGTTATTATGTAGGTCACTATATTAACTTCGAGACATGAAAAAAGTAAACAATATTTACTTATAATTCTTATTATATTTTTTCAAAATACTCTCTATCACTCTCTACACAAATTTTAAACCAGTCTTGGAAACACTTATTCCAGTCTTCCTCCGACAGGTCAAAAGTGGCTGATTCGTAGGCCGCCACCGCTTCTTTGGCACCTGAAAAAACCTGCCTTTTATCTTATCTTTTATGATGTTAAAAAAAAGAAGTCAAAATGGGTGTGGTTGGATTTCAATACCCGATTCTTGAATAAACGGCTTCTAAGGGAAGAATGTGAAGACGCATTGTCATGGCGCAGCATCATTCTCCGAAGCCCGGTCTTTGGTCGTCTCTTATGCACAGCTTTAAAAACTTTGGGCAATGCGACTGTAGTGTACCATTCTGAGTTAACAGAGTTCTCTAGCAGTTGTAAAATGTCGTCTTCGTGAAAAAAAACTCTCCACTTTCTTGGCAATATTCTGCGGTCTTTGCATTTTTGCTGGCAACTGGCCATCTGGAAACATCCATACCGAGGTACGCTTTTTGCTTTCCGGATCATATTGGTATATTCATGTTTCCCGGTGATCACTTCAGTCAGCCGGTATGAGAGGGTTGGGTATGAGACGTGCCTGGGCTTGAAGCACCCATGGTAAGTATCACCGCTGAAACTGTATCTGAAAGAAGACGTATATGAGTGGCTGACTCTATTCTTCAATATATTGTTGCATGAAGAGGTGATCCCAAGGAATTGGTGCCAAACCCAACAGAACTCGTACCCATTTTCAAGAATAAAGGGATGTTCAGGAATCTAACTATCGAGAGATAAAGCTCATTGTGTTGTAAGTGTTTGAGAGAAAAATAAGAGATGAGAGTGAGATAACCCAAAGTCAATTTGGCTTTAGGCCAGGACGCGAGACAACAGATGTGACTACAGACGGGGGTGAGGTCCAGAGCAACATTTCGCTGGATGGGATAGCGATAGTAGTCTGCTCCAGTTTCAAGTACCTCGACTCCCTTTTACAATGTGATGGTGAGATTTATCGAACTGTACAGCATCGAATCAATACAGGATATAAATAATATTACCCGAGTTTCGATTTAATACTGAAGGGACAAATTTATAAAACTATCATCAGACCTGCCGTCCTTTAAAGTTCTGAAAGTTAACTAAATAAGACAACGGATGAGAGACGCCTGAACGTAGCCGAAATGGGAATGCTGAGATGGATGTGTGGTGTGACTCAAATGGACAAGGTTAGGAACGAGGGAGTCTGAACGTAGCGCCACTGGATGAAAAGTTGATAAGTAATAGGTTATCTTGGAATGGACATGGATGAAGAAAATGCAAGAGAAGAGGGAGACCAAAGAAAAGGTGGATGGACTGTTTGAGTGAGGATATGGCTAGGAAGGGAGTAATCAGTGAGATGACGCATGACGCATGATAAAGTAGAATGGAAGTATCATACTTACTTACCAAATAAAATTGGGATGGCTGCGTACTATGGCGGCAATCATGTTACCGAGCAAGAGAATTCTCGCTCCAATGGCCACCACGAGACCACGCCGAGCATTCTGCCAGTGGAGCGCTGTGTCCATGGTCCGGCCATCGCAGTGGTGGCACTCAGACGTTGGCTCCTTGTGGATCAGCAAAAGGTGATCTCTGAAGCATCCTTTCCCGGTGATCACCTGATTACGTGCCCGGGCTTTTAGCACCCGTGGTAAATATCACCGCTGAAACTTTATCTGCAGCATTTATTAGCGGTTTTAATGCACGATTCGGCTGTCCCGTTACAATCGCAATATATCAAGGACCCCAATTCGAGTTGGATCTTTTCCACTAGCTGACGAAGCGACTAGGAATCAACAAGATAAACACAAATCCCTATCATCCTCAAGCTCACGGACAAATAGAAAGATGGCACAGATGCCTTAAAGCAGGGCTCATAGCCACTTGTAATAGCACTGGGTAACCGGGTAACCGAATTGCAAAAGGTTATGTTTGGACTCCGCACAATACTACGCAAACTGGAGTAAGTAACGCGCAAATTACATACGGTTGAACATTACGTTTATCAGCTAACTTTTTCGCTGACAATAGTAAAACGTTAATCAACGACGATGATTACGTCAGGCAGTTAACAAATTTCATACTTGCCTTATAAAACGAAACAGGAAATCAAAAAACGAGTCGGAAATGTTTCGTACACCAAGAACTATAATTTTTATAAATTACATTTTTCTCAGAAGAGACACAATCAGAGACTGCTCCATACTAAGGTCCTTTCAAAATTCCTGAAATGATAAGGAAAATGGTACACAATCCAACTCACAGCCAGAAACGCCATCGTATCGGTGGATCGCCTAAAGCCTGCAATCATCTTCGAAACATCAGAGGACACAAACAACATACACCATACGTCACCCACAAGAATAGCGTCAAATTCAAATTCGGTTCGAGCACGCGCCGGTATGTCACCAGATCTGGCCGTGGAACTCGACTGGCATTGCAATTTGCAACCTAAGCACTAGGTGCAATCAATTAGTTAATTGTATGTTAATTATTTTAGGTTCTTTACACCTGTCATAGCTTTACTCTTATTTTACTAGCTTTTATATAATTTTGCACACATTACGCATATTGTTTCGTTACTATGTATGTCACCTCATTAACAGCGACCTCAAGTAATTTCCTTACTTATTATTTTGATGATATAAGATTTACGTAATATTTTTACTAGTCAGCTAGATCTCTGTTTCAGTGTGTATACATTTTTAGTTCACACACGATTAATATTAGACTATAAATACTAACACAATTTACTAACAAAGAAAAGTAATAAAATAGTATCTGAACACCAACAGTAGTTTCAATTAGCGTAATGCGCGTGAATTGTGCTAACATCTACCAACTGCCTTATTTGTATACGCAGGAACATCAATGGGGCACTTTATACAAAATGTAAAACTCAGTCTATTTTTTAGGACAGTCTTAATAACTCTGTCATTTTTCGGTAATTTACTGTGAGGGCAATACTGTGTTTTTCTTTTGTTTTTAGAGTGTGAGTGTGCGTTCGTGTCTTTTTTACTTGCTTTTCTTCTACAGTGTTTTATCTATGTATTCAGGTAGTAGTATGGTATGTGACAGTTGAATGTGTCAAATACAGTGTTACCAACGTAGTGAATTGTCCACTAATACTAGTGGTTTAGACCCCCCTGTTCGTGGCGAAATATTGCTTTCAGCGGCTAGTGGGTTTTTCTAGTGGCTAGTGGATTTTTGTAGAGGATTTAGGAGATGAGGTTGAAAGATGAACTGTGTAATAACTGTTTGAGTATGCAAACCTATGGAAGTGCCCAGGAAGAGAAGGATTAATATTTTTAGGCTATTTTCAGATGTGGGCCTTGTGCCAGAGAGGGCGAAGGTTCAGGAGAGAATAGTCAATAATGTATGCTATAATTTTGGGGACATAATCCAGGATGGTAACTATAATCTTAGCGTTAGAACGGACAAACCGAACGATCTTTATGATGTCCCCAGAAGGTACCGGCGAAAAATCAAACTTGATAATATTGGGTCGTAAGTTAAATGTTTTATCTGCTATGTGAGTAGTACTAAGTATACGCAGTGGTTTGAGGTTGGAAGGAAAATGCTGTATCGACTATGAAATTGCAATAAACGTTGTAAAACAAATCGGTACCAAATAATCGCATCAATCTGAAACTGATGATGATGTGCAGACGAAAACGATTCAAACGAAGAAAACAAATTAATTTAAAATAGGTAACTGTTGTTATCTAAGTAAGTATAAGTTACTCCAATAGTCGCTAGACATTCACTAGCGACTATTGGAGTAAAGTCGTTTTTCATTAGTGGTTTTAGATGTTGAATCTGGTGGAGAGTTAATTTAACTGTCGGCAACACTGGTCAAAAAACTTAACTACTAAGTGTATGAAAGTGTAATGTTTGAGTAGTACCTATGTTTTGTTGCATTTATATTTCTTGTAATATTCTTTTAGTAAATTTCATTAATATTTTGTAAATAGGAATTTGTTAATTAGTAATAAATACTGCATGTTTTCGATTCGACTTTTAAGTGTTAAAAACATATATTTTGTGTGAAAAAACCGGTTTATAGACGTTATAGTGTTTTGTGAATCAAACTAATTTTGTGTTACAGAGCAAAATTTAAAATGTGGTGGAAACCTATCGTCTTCGTAAATATATTTATAATAAACTCAATAATATCTCAAGATGGTAAGTATCTGACGAACGCTTTAAAACTTTTTATCAACTTATTGCTATATTTGCGCCCAATTATTATGATATTCCTGGACGGATAACATCTTGGTAAACTTCGTAAAAACCCTTAGTTCTTTGCCTTAGCATTAGTTACAAAACAACTTAAAGTTGGACAACTCCCTTCACTACTTAAATTGAATTAATTTTACATTTAAAAGCTTACAATTTAGTTAACATTACTTTTCATCAAGTATACTTAAAGCACCTGAAAAGTCGCTAGCCCTTATCATGCCCCAGAATATCTGATTTGATTTAAAAAAAATAATAATAATGTAATTTTATTCATTAACACTAGTTAAAGTTATTTTCAAATAAAGTTCTTTCTACTACCATACAACTGAACTTATATTTTTTATGTGGTGCACTGCCATCAGACCTCCACAACCGATATACTAGGCAATATCGAAGTTATGTAGAAAGACTGTTGCTGCATTTTTTTTTAGCTTCAACTACTGATAATAATTACCACAGATGTTGTATGGCAACCAGTACTGATGGCTTCTTAACATGCTCTCCTAACCACAGGAGGCGGAGGCGCCTCAATGTGTTAAGAATGGTCACCCATCCATAGACTGGTCTCACTAGGATTTCTTAACTTTGCAATTTGTTAATCAACTCGGTTACAACTTAGCCAGAAGCCCAAATAAATTATATTACTAAAAATATAATTGTAATAATTATTTAAAAGATTAATCATTAAAATTTCTAAGTAATACCATGACCTGACTTGAACTGTCAGCCCCTAGTTGTTTACAAATTTTACTGGTATGTGATAACTGTGACTGAGATAATGAACAACAGTTAAGCTGTAAATAAACGATAGCAGCTATGTGGTAAAGCTGCTATCGTTCATGTATGAAATAATAATGTACTCATTGATTTTGTGAATTATTACCGCTATGTTGTTATACATGTTTTTTACTGTATCTATGTTTTTATGTATATGTATATATGTTTTTACTTTATCTGTTGTCTATTTTGGTATTGGTGGTTAGTAAATCTTAACCTTATAACTTTTTATTGTGTATTGTTTTGTCTTGTTAGTTGGATGATTTTAGATGTTTATGTATCAGTATAGTTATTTCGCAATTCATAGTATAGTCAGTTTCATTTAACTTAAAGTGCAGTCTAAAAACACACACTTGTGTCCATACCAATTATATCTGTTTATTTGCCCTTTAAAAACATTAAACCATCCACCAACAACAACATAAAAATCTGTGGCAGACTGTATAAGGATTGTTTTTGTTGCTATCTGGTTGTATGGAGAACTGTACACCCAGATAGCAACAAGCTAGCTAGAAAGCTAGATTTTTAAAGATTATCATAGTTATTAAATAGTATCCAGACTTTTAAGATTTTTAACCTATTCTATACCTTTTTCCTATTGCATTAAAACTATTTTTATTTTCATAGTTGGTGAAAAGTGTATGCCAAACAATCAGGTATTTGAAGGTACCTGTAAAGAAGTTTCTCAATGTGAAGCAGCCATGCAGTAAGTTGAATTGTGTAGTATGTTTGTTATAGCATTTGTTACTTTTGGTTAGGAAAAGATTGTGTAATATTTACATTTTAATTATTTATTTAAAAATGCTTTGACATTGATAGCTACGGTTCAGGAAGTACCTAAATAACATTTCTTTTCTTTTTTTAACTAGACATATAAGTAAATAACACTATGTTATTAATGCTAGTCATAACTTGAATTAGTGATTATATCATATTTATTAATTTAATAGTATTATGAGAATATCTATATTAACACCTATTAAGACAAGTTAATAAAAATTACAGAGCCATAAGAAATAAAAGAAACCACCAATTTGGGAGATGTGGGTTTAGTGGGTTTGAAGAAGTTGTGTGCTGTCCTCATACCACTAATAAGTTTGGTAAGTTAACAATATTAACTACATGACATCTATAAGTTTAAGGGAAGGGAGTTAACAATGTGTGGCAATGGGGGCTATCATAGGCTTTATTATTAACTTTCATTTGCATTTTGTTAATTTATTGTTCTCTGTAATATATATACTATACACACACCAAGAAAGTCTGAGCTGAACGATTTTTACTATTGTAATAGGTATATTTATATTGACCGGATGGCATAGTGGTTTGTGTAACGGACTGCTGTTCCAAAGGTCGCCTGTTCGATTCCCGCTCAATTGAAACGTGTGTGCATGTACACTTAATGTTGATTTGGTCTGGGTGTTTCTATGTATAATATGTTAGCATTTACAAAAAAAAGTATCTATGTATTTATATCAATTGTCTAGTACCCATAGTACAAGCTCCGCTTAGTTTGGGACTAGATGGCGTTGTGTGAATGTGGTAGAATATTATTATTTCTTTTATAAATAATAAGTAACCGCCAAACCGTGAGATATAGGCTGCATGAATGCAGCCTACGAGCAATTAGGTGGCGACCTATACGCCATGGTAATCGCCCTCATCTTAACGAATAGTGTAGGGAACACTTGCCATGGATGGAGCAATGGAATAAAATTATATTTTGCGATGAGTCCCGCTTTTGGATTTAGGCCTGATACGATAGTGTATCGTCGTCCCGGAAATGCTCGACGACTGAGATGCGTCCAAGAAGTGCACCCTTACAGTGGCTTCATAGCTACGAATAATAATTTCTCTGGAAGCGTAACTAAGCCAAAAAAATGTTTTCACGAAATATCAGGCGTAAAATAGGCGCCGTCGCAGTGCATCGGTATGAATGATATTATAAATAAGTAAATAAACATTTTGTTATCCCATACTTAACGACTCTGGAAAGTGTTATGCAACATGTTTTTATATTAGGGATGATATTATGCAAAAGTACTGGGTCTACCACTAGGGATGACCTGGTTTTGACAGCTCATAGCGGCCATGTTTGATGATGGATCTTTGACGTCTCTTGACATTTGTGTTCAGTAAGGTTTGCCATTTTATCATGTCACGTTTTACTTTAAACCAACGCTTGGAAATTGTCCAAAATTATTATGTCCCAAATTCGCGTTCTCCTACCGCTACAGTAAGAGCGCTTCGCGCAAAATATGGTCGTCATAGTGCTCCTTCTGTGCACGTTATAAATCGCATAATAACAAAATTTGAAAGTGAATTCACTCTCCACGATACTGCTGTGCCTGTGAGACAAAGAAATGCCCGTAGTGAAGAGAATATCGCAGCCAGTTCAGGCCAGTGTTGATGCAAATTCAAATCGATCAGTTCAACGCCGTTCACAAGAGTTGGGGCTCTCTCCAATGACCGCCTGGCGTATTTTGCGGTTGGATTTGGGCCTACACCCATACAAAATTGTTTTGGCACAAGAATTGAAGCCATCCGACCATTGTATCCGTCGTGAATTTGCCGATTATGCACTGGAAATGATGGAAGCCGATGACGATTATTATCGTAAAATCATCTTCTCAGATGAGGCCCATTTCTGGCTCAATGGATTTGTTACTAAACAAAATTGTCGCTATTGCAGTGAGTCAAATCCACGTGTGGTTCATGAATCACCATTGCATCCGCAAAAAATAACAGTTTGGTGCGGTTTATGGTACGGTGGAATCATTGGTCCGTACTGCTTTGAAAGTGACGAAGGAAACTCTGTTACTGTGAATGGCGAGCGCTATAACTCGATGTTAACCGTATTCGGTTAACATCGAGTTATAGAGTTATACATTACTTTCCGGAATTCCGGTTAACCGGAATTTGATGATATTGGTGCAGACGACCTTTATTTTCAACAAGACGGTGCACCACCTCACATTACTCGAGTGAACATGGAATTATTGCGTGGAAAGTTTGATGAGTCGTTAATTTCGAGAAATGGACCGATCAGTTGGCCACCAAAATCGTGTGATTTAACACCTTTAGACTATTTTCTTTAGGGTTACGTACGCGTTACGTAAATCTAAAGTGTACAGCAATAATCCAGCTACAATTCGTGACCTAAAAACCAACATTCGACGAGCCATAGCCGACATACCGGCCGAAATGGTGCACCGCGACATCGGAAATTGGCGTGAGCGGGTGATCGTCTGCAAAATATATTATTTAAAACATAAATTGCATAAAATTATCTATCAAATAAATCAATCGGATGCATTTTTCAAAAAAAATGTGTGTTTTATTCAATTTTTAAACCAGGACGTTCTTATTGGTAGACCCCATATAATATATTTAATTACAACAGATTCCCGCGAACAGTAACTGCGGTTCGTTTGGAAAGAAACGAATCTGATTGAATGTCTAACAAATACAGTAGAATATGCAGCATTCACTGTCGAAGTGAGGACATATACACGCTTAGTAACGGAAGGCGTAAACGATTTAAATAACCAGCATTACCTATTTGCACTGAAGTTTTATATTTCGATTACACGATTTTCAGTCTCCTAGTACCATTGACCTGAACCGAATGCACCATTGACCTGCACCATCAATGGTGCAGAGGAGACACATTAGTTTCGTTTGCACCATTAATATTAATACAACTACTTTACTCGTTTATTCCATCTCTCCTACTCCTACCAGTAGTTCGATAATCGAACTGTTTGGAAGTTTTTTTTCCAAATATACTGGTGTCGCCCACCGTCGATCGATATTTCTAATATCGGTAGAAACAAATGACGATCATAAGGTCATAAGGAAAAAAAAAACTGTGGAAGTTCATAAGGTCGAAAATTGTTTGCACCTATTTCTTATGTATATGTAACGACTATTGTGAAAAATTGGTGCAATCCTTTTTATATTCGTGATTAGCGTCATTTATAGACCCCTACAACGATCCTTAGAAAGGAGGTTTTGGCCTACTATACCAATCTGGCCAGACGGGTTGGTATAGGGTGGTGACTCAGTATTCTTTATCCGTCACCACACGGAAGATCTCAATCGCTTCCGATTCCTCATCATATTTTTTTAAAGTTGTCAAATTATATTATTCACATGTAAACCACATATAACTGCAAAGTTTCAAACCGACAAAACGATTGCACTTGGCAAAATCGAGCAAAAACTTATTTTTACGAAGAAAAAATGTAATGTAACACCTATCTAAGAACCATCACTGATCAACCACAATCCCATTACTGAAAACTGCAACAAAATCGGACAAGTAATTTTGGAGATAAATAGTAACATTGGTTTGCACAAGCAGATGTTTACTGCAGCGCCCCATAGTGGGTTACAACAGTAACACCCATCTAAGAACCAGCATCAATTAACCACGAACCCACTTCTGAAAACCGCATCAAAATCGGACTATTAGTGTTGGAGATAAATGGCAACATTGGTTTGCAGAAACGAACAAACAAACATCTCGCACCTTAAACGCATATACCTTCTCCGTGCCTTTGTGGGTAAATACCAATGAAATTAAGGATTTTGTTGCTTTAGTCACTAATGCATCAAAGAAAGCTTAGTTATTGTTTATAAAAGAAGTATAAATATAGTTAAAATCGTTCCAAAATTCAAAACTACATGTTGCTTAGACGTTTTTGATGTGTGTTCCTATATAATTAGTATTCATTTATGTTGATTTTATTGAAAAAAAATTTTGGAACTGTTGTTTTCTTTGATTCAGTTCTAGGTCAAAACATGAAAACACCATTACAAAATTCTTGACATTCGTGTGACATCAATATTAGATGACCCGCCTCTATGCATTTATTTTTAGGATTAATACTATTTAAATATTGATAACAGGTGACAATATTGATAGAAAAACTGGTGACAATTCTGGTGATAACAGAACAGGAAACAATTCGAACGATAAGACAAGGCGAATTGCTGAAAGAGGTAAATTTATAAAATATGTGATCTTACAATATTGTTTATTGTACTGTAAAGATATATGTCACTCATTTTGACTATTAATTTTAGAATGTAGGAAAATTGCTGCAAATAGCATAGCGCCATTGGATTTGCATATATTGGGAGGTGAGGCTGCATCACTCGGGGAATTTCCACATATGGTAATTAATTATTCTGTCTTTCTCAATTTGAGTTGTAACCATTTTGTACTTACCTATTGTTGTTTCTATTATTATTGATAAAATGTAAGTGTTGTTCGCTTAAGATATTTTTTATCAAAACTTTGCCAATAAATATTGTTGTACAATATAATATAACATAGTAAAGTCACACATCTTTAACGTGGAAGAACGAGTGTCAAATCCCTACAGATGATCCTCCGATCAGGCGAGGTGATCATCCCTACCGCGGCCCAATGGTAGACGTTTTGAATAGGCACGAGAACTTTCATTACGCGATTCAGAATTAGTCTTGATTCCGTAGTTCGATGTGGCTTCGTCTGATGTCACTGAAGTATGTTTCTCTTTCGTTGCATGTTTAAGTCTCCACAAAGAAAAACCAGTATCCACATTCCACTTATCTATGCAATACATCAGGGCCCTTTAAGATAAAAAAAAAACATAAATAATGTTTTAAATAAAAATACACAGAGCCTTAGCCGTGAAATACTATGTTTCTGCAATCGATTTGTTATAACTTTCTTTGAAACAATAGGAATGCTGTATAATTTAGTAAAATTCTGTCCTGTGTTTTCTGCTGACTACGATTATAGCAGAAAAGTTGTAAATAATCATATTATTATTAAAGGAATAGCCGCTGTTTATTAAAAAAAATGAGTTTTTCGATGGTAAATTTGTCTTAACGTTTTTTTGCAAAAGTAGGAATGCTTGCGAAATTGAATCCTCTTCGTCCTTTTAAGACGTACAACATTTAACTTTTACGTTGCAGGAGTTTAATAATATTCATATTCAAAAAGTAAACCCTGGTCATTAACGCGAAATGGCGTTTTTCAAGAATAATTTAGTCTTAACTGCTCTCAACAAAATAGAAATAATGCAAAACTTGACATAATTCATTCGGGTAATGTACAACCACGCTCAATAACTTTTACGTTTGCAGAAACGTTATAATTAACAATATTTAGAAAAAAATAAACATACGTAGCTAACAAAAAATACTGAATTTCAATGAAAAATCGCCTGTAACTCTCTTCGCAGAAATAGAATTGCTTCCTAGTTTTGTATCGTTTATTCCTAAGTATCGTACAATAATACTAAATTACTTTTACATTAGCAGAAAAGTAATAATTTTTATTAGTAAATAAATAATCAGACACGAGTCACAATAAATTGACCGATTCGATGAAAAATTGCCTGTAACCATCGAGCCTTTCAGAGAGGAGGTGTAATTAGATTTTCCTATGAAACAACGCGTGACAGTTTGCGAGGTGAGGGGTTGTTAAGCTCCGACCACTTAACTTTTTTCTATCTACCAAATGATAGCAAAACGACTTTCATCGTTCTATATCGATGTCGCTATTTAGTTTAGCTATCTCACACTAAGTGTTGGATATAAGGGACGTACTCAGAATTTTCGTACAAGTGAGTTTTTTTTAAGATAATTTTCTGAAAAATCTTACTCATTCCCACGCCGACAGAATTAGCGGAACACAAAAAAAGGGTGAATATGAAATAGTTAAATTTATTTTTAAACAAATAATAATTAAACATGAAACAAAAATTAAATTAACATGTTTTGGCATTAATTTGCATAATTCGCATAACACCATACTTAGTTTAATGAAAAAAAGAAACTAAAGTAAACAAAATGCATTTTTCTTAGATTTCGTAATGACAGAGAAACTGTTAAAAATTTAAAATTTTGTGACGGTTGACGATTAATTAAATGAATGTTTAATTTCGAGTGTTAAAACTCCCCCCCTCTGATTATGGTTTCCATCCGTCTTGGCATGCTGCGGATGATGTTGTCAATGATTTCTTGGGGCAACCTCTGCCATTTTTCAAGTAAAGGTGGCGTTCTTGATTTGACAGTCCTCTTTAGCAAGTCCCGATCGTGCAATATCCAGGGACCGTGCTGGCCACTCCATCAACGTTACACCGACATGGCTTAGGTATGCCTGTACTGAGCGAGCACTGTGAGCCCGAGCATTATTCTGCATTAGAATGAATCTCCCTGAAATACCGATCAGCAGTCAGATTCCCGCCGTCGACTACCAACTCCTAAACATATCCCTCCCCCGTCCATAATTTATACGCCGCCATATGCCACTGTATTTTCAAAATTAGACTGGATATAACGCTCTCCTTAGCGTCTCTTGAGAGAAAGAGTGATATGATTTTCACCCATAGTTAAGTATACCTACTTAATATTGAAGGTGAGAATAATAAACAAATTATTACAATGATTTCATTTAATATTTAGTTAAATAAAATTTTAATATTTTATTTTAAATTAGGCATCGGAAAGCACTAAAACAATTAATGAAAAAAAAACGATACAAATTAAAATAACTTACAGTTAACTAAGTTACAACTCTTACGAGTATAATAGATGTCTTGCGGTAGAGAAATACTTTGAATATTATAAATAGACTATTTACTTTCAAGGACACTACTTTATGAGGTATAGGTAACTCATAAGTGTCCATTTCTTGGGTTGACTTTTACCAAATGCTACTTTACGGAATGCTGCTTTTATGAAAACATACACCAATTTTATTAAATGTTTTTATTTCAATTAGAATGTCACTTATTTAAAGATTTCGTAAAAATCTGCCTAAGTAAAATTTCCTTCATTTTCATAATAAAGTACTTTAATGGATTAAAATTGGATTCCCATTTCGGCCTTGTTCTGTTTATGTATGTTTTTAAAGTTGACGATAGATGACAGTCTGTTCACAAAATTAATCCTAAAAAGTTTAATATATTGTTCTGGCAATTAAAAATTCTTTGGGACTGAATGTAGAACAAATTTCAGTTTTAGCTGACTAAAACTAAGTTTTACGTGCCTTTTATATTTTTAGTTTAAATTAAAAGTTTAGTCATCTAGTGACGAATAGAAGTAACTATATTTCAAAAAACACTAAGAGATTTTTTCCAGAACTATCTTAATAAATTAAGTATAAAATTACTTACAAATGAAATGCGATGCCATCCATAGCAACAAAACGCATATCCGAATTATTTTAACACGATAAAATACAAAATTTTCTTCTTAATACCAGGAAAATATACAGATTTGCAATTTTGCGACACAAGCGCACAGTACGGACGCTGAGTGTACAAATTTTAAGCCAAGCCTACTGTGATAACGTCAGGACCTATTGAGAATCACAGTGCACAGTTGCTTAAGTCCTCTCCTCTTTGCATTTGCTTCGTGCCTGTAACTCTCTTCACAAAAATAGGATTGCTTCCTAATTTCGTATAGTTTATCCTTAAGTGTCGTACCATAATACCAAATTACTTTTATGCAGAAAAATTATAAATAACAATATTTAATAAATAAACGTACGCAACTAACAAAAAATATTGAATCTTTTCATTTAATAACATTATTTCTGTTTTTTTTTAATCTTATAGGACCATGATGTATTGTATAGTAATTTGAAGCAAGAAAAATGACCGTTTGCACTCTTTGTTGTTAAAAAAATCTTACTTTGAGGAGCGTGCCATATACTACGTCGGCTATGTCCGATGGCTAGTAGGTCCGTCGGGTAGCTTCAGCTTTATGACTTTTGATATTTCTCTCGTAAAGAAGCTAGTACGAGGCATGCCTTTTAAGTTTTGTCGTTTGAAGAAAAAAACAACTATAACCTTATAGTACTTTTTATTGTTTTTCAAAGTATTCACCACGTAGCTTAATACACTTTTCCATTTGCTCAAACCAGTTATTATAACATTTATTCCACTCTTAAGTGGGGTTGTTCAAAATGGCTGACTTGAAAGCGTCGACTGCTTCTTCACCGGACAGGAACTTTTGACCACGAAGACTTTTCTTAATTTTAGAAAAATGTAAAGAAATCGTTAGGGCTTAGGTCAAGACTGTATGGAGGGTGGTCAAGAATTTCTACTTTTTCCTGCTTCAAATACTCAATCGTTTGACGAGCGCTGTGTGAGCTTGCGTTGTCGTGGTGCAGTATGATGCCTCGCTCTGAGTTAGATTTTCGAAGTTCGGCGAGGACTTGTGGTAAACGAACTGAGGTATACCCCTCTGCGTTAACCGTTCTACGATCTTCAAGTGCAATAGTCGCAACATGGCCGGTTTTTCCAACGAACGTGGCCACCATCTTCTTTGAAGTGCTTCGAGAATGAACAACTTTAGTCGGCTTTGGCTCGTCTTGAAAGACCCAGATTGTAGATTGTTGTTTGGAATCAGGATCGTAGGCATAGATCCAAGATTCGTCACCACTGATGATGTCGTAGACGTGATTTGACTCTCCTCGTTTGAAGCTTTGCAGAGTTTTCTTATACCATCTGACGCGGGCCGCCTTGTGATCGTCGGAGATGACCGCAGATGCGGTATCCAACGGCAAACTAGCGCTTCACACCAAGCGCTTCATGCAAGATCTTCAGAATGGTTGTCCCTGAGATGCCTAATAGAGCCTCTATCTCTCGATACGTCACATGACGATCTTCGAGAATTAGTTGTCTCACAGCAATGAAGTTATCTTCAGTGAAGGCGGATTTTGGGCGTCGTTCGCGAGATTTGTCACTAACCCTAGTATGTTCACGCTGGAATTCTAAATACCAGCGTTCGACAGTCCGCAAACATGGGGCTTCATCACTGAACACAGATGTTAGCTCTTCAAAACACTGAAGCCGTGATAGGGCTCTTTTAAAGTTGTAGAAAATTATTGCACTAACATTTTCCTTAGAAAGATTCATTTTTGCACGTAACCTGACAGACTCCAATCGACACTGTGACTAAACAATAGCATTAATACTAATATTTTCAACTGTTTTGAGATTCAAAATGTTAACACATTCGAATATAGAACAGTTTCAAATTTAAAATTGCCGGGAAATATGGAAACGACAGAACTTAAAAGGCATGGCTAGTATATGTACATGTGTCAGCAGAGGTGAGGATTTAGGGACCAGTTTTAATAATCGCTTTCCTGGAATTGCGTCTTGGAATTCTTTACTAAATGTCTACAGTCACAATACGTTAATTTTTCAGATAGTTCCGAGATCTGGCTGATGATCTGTGAGGACTGAGTGACTTTAAATTGCACTTTAAGAGTTGTAGTTTTAAAAATATATGTTTATAAATGCCCAGATTTGTTCTGACTTTTATGTGTAGGTACCATTATGGTCCCTCAGTTTACACGTACATTCCCGTTGCCGCTATAAACCGGATTGGAAAATACCCATAAGTAAAATATTCTTATGTACAAGGAAGTTAGTGCGAAACTTATTTAAAATGACGTTGGGTTTTAATCTGTAATTATTTTCTTATAGCCGTCAGTACATTAAACATGAAAAAAAAATGCTAATAACACAATGACGACATCATCGACGTAAATCACTTTATTATTAAGTAGGTACTCTAGCAATTCATGTGACCCCTGAATAGTCGATTACAATGTGTAATCCACCAGCACTGAAGTCGTATTTTTAAGCTAGTGATTTATACTGGTCCATTATAAAAATGAGATAGACTACGAGGAATTATGCTAAAATTTATTAAACCGGGTGTTAGAAAAGTACCGGAACAGCAGACTAATTCGCTAGGGATGCATTTTTCTGAAAACTTATTTCACAACGTAAACACAAAAGTTACAGGAATTTTCCCTGACTATCCATTGCTGTCCTTGAAATTGACCTTGATCACAACCTTGAAGGGTCAAGGGCAATTTTCGAATGGGATTACATCTTTATGAGCCCGGAATCGAAAATAGACAGTTAAAAATATATACAATTGGATATGACCTTCAGTACGCAAATTTTGACCTCTAAAGGTTACCAATTCAAGGTGAATCAATTGCAAGGTCACCAATTGATAGTAGATTCGAGGGTTTTTAGCCTAGGAAAAATTTAAATGTTTCTTGAACAAATTTCTATAAATAATTCTTACAAAGCAATAAATATATCTAATATTAAATCGGTCACGAGTTTTAAAATGTCTTGTATTATTAGAAGCTATAGTAATTCGATTCGAGTTACTTTGATGGATCTCTCTGGGTAGACATATCTACAATACTGATCTTGGGCAATGAAAATATAAAAAATAAACAGAAAAATTTGCAGTTCAAAATAAGGTCGTTGTCGGAAACAACATATCCGTTATAACTAATTAACGTCTTGAAGTAAGATACTGTAATTTTGTTGGGCCTCAGGAATAAATACAAGATAGTTCAGTTCAGTTCAGTGTTATCACAAGGTTTCTAGGTTGCCTAGTTTGGAAACCCGAGGCTAATTTCGCTTCATAACTTTTCAGTGTTTCAAAATTATGGCAAAAAATGTCTCCCAAAGAGGCGCAAATTGTGCCTAGTTCTGGTCACCCACCAGCAAAACGTTACCCCAGCCAAAACTTTATTATCATTGGCATTTCGATATAGCACGCAAATTTGGCACAAATTATAAGTTACAAATCTGGTGACTTTAAATCCATCCACTTTAAGTAAACGTATCTTATATTCGCGAATAATCATAAAGCGGTTGGGGACACATACTTAAGAACTTGTTGATACAGATAATTAGAACACTATGTTGTGTTTACATAACAATAATAATTTCAGAATGTCCATATATATGTATATCAAATCCATTATTAATGCGTCCTGTCGCAAAAGCTGTTGTCTTGCCCATGAACTACACACAGCATTAGAGTATTTTAGTACGCCAGCCACCTCTTAATTTCTTCTTCTTTTTACATTAAATAAAAGCTGTTCGGAATCTATCATAATTCAGGCACATATCACTGTACTCCCATTGTACAGACCGGGTTTTTGATTTGATTCACCACAGATGACAATAAAATTGTTCATATTAAATTTCGCTTTACTGTGCTGCATTACAGATGCCTAAAAAATCGTATGGAATAAAGAACGTTCTAACTATTTGAAAGTCAAGCTATCTGAGACTTGTTTTATCTAGGACAAAAAACATTTTTTACTACGAAATCTGGTTTTATTCGAAAGAGCATTCGAACGTTGTATGAGTATAATATGTTAAATTTCAGAACGCGTTATGTGTGCTGGTATTTTTTCCGATAAAGTAAGAATAACAGGTTTAATTAATCACTTAGTCATTTTCATGTTATCTTTTTTAAATTGCCCATTTGATAATTATTAATGTCACTCTTATCACCTACATATTTTATTTATACAGAAGTATAGCGATGCCCTAGCTTTGCACGGTTGGAATAAATGTTTTGTGGTTTATGTTTAAAAAACACTGTTCGATCGACTTACAGTAAACGGTTTTCATACTGACCCTTCGTCGTTAAAATGTATTAAATTCACCAGTATAGAATTAGTTTTTGACCTTAAGAGCATAAGTAAAAGCCAAAAGTATATCTTCCACCATTTTACAATTCTTACTAAAAAAACAGACAGATAAGGAAGCCCCTCGGAGGGATTTCCAAGCACTGTCCTACAATAATTTTACATTTTAGTTAGGCGCGATGACATGACACATGCTGTCTAAGGGTAGTAGGGTAAAATTCCGTAGTGAACACCTAAAATCTGTAATCGGTGTATTTACCAATACACGCGGTTAAATGTATTTGAAACTGAAGATTACCGTAATATCAATAACCATATATTTTCCTTATGATTTAGGCATATAGTCTGATGATTTGTATCTGTAGCTAACTGTACATTACATGATTTAAAAGTAAATAGAAGAGAAGAACAGTTCTTATATGTATTTACTATATTTACTAAAAAACATTTGCTTCTGCAGGGGCGTTTCTTCGTTAGCGATTATGACCATATTTGGTAAAAACAATACTCAAACTCAGTACGGTACGTTTGCGTATGCAAGGAAGGAAGTTTTCTTGAAAGAAACATTATTTTTTTAAATTGGATGTCAAAAGCGCGACTGGATATTGAAATTGAGTTGTCCAACCTGGCGTAACACAAATATTTTATTGTATAATTACAGGTGGCCTTAGGGTACGACCGTGGAAATGGAGGTTTTGAGTTTGATTGCGGAGGCTCAGTATTATCTAATACTTACGTCTTGAGTGCTGCGCATTGTGTAGATACGTTAGACAGGTACAGAAATGTTCCTTTTTTAATATATACTAATGTAGTCCCTGTACCACGTGATACCATGACGGAAAGGTATCAATACTATCTCGAAAAAACCCGAGATCAACACAATACTATTAATTAAAAATATGAATAATGTTTGTATGTATTCAAGGATAGAGCCCACCATTATACGCGCAGGGGTCGTAGAGATCGGCGGCAAAAACTTCAACTCTGAAAGTGATGTGAGGATAGCCGAAATCGTAATAAATCCTCGCTACACCAGAAAAGAAAAGTATCACGACTTGGCATTGTTAAGGTAACATTTTTTTCTACATTAAAATTCTACCGGTTAAACCTTTATAGTGGTCTCTTTCTGTGAAGTTGTAATGCTCCATAAAGAGACCGCTGAACGGGATCGGGAGAGGGCCGATCATAATAATTCACCATCTCGTGACGTTGATATTTAAAATTAAGTTAAATAAAAATTGGTAGGTTCTGCTTGCCTTCATTACACAACAATATTCGCCGTTGGAGTTTATTGCCCTTTCTGTACTTACACTGTTCCAAAAGTATTGAAATAAAATAATTTAATTATTATAATTTAACCCATCGCTGAGCCTAAAGTAAGGTTTAGGGCAATACTTACACCTAATCTTTGCGATCTTCAGTTTTTTTTACGTAGAACCGTATACGTCGATTTAAAATTATTCAAGTATTTCTTAATCTCAATCTTATTTTTAGGGTTCCGTACCTCAAAAAGAAAAAAAACGGAACCCCTATAATAAGATCACTTTGTTGTCCGTCTGTCAAGACTGGAATCTCGGGAACGCGTTAAGGTATCGAGTAGAAATGAAACCATATACTTATCTCTACAGTCTCATGAAACTGTGTAAAAATCCAACTTCTAAGTTTATGCCGCGAAAAACGCATATTTCGACATTCTCAAGGAAATCAAAATTAATAGGGTACTTCCCGTTGACCTAGAACTAAAATAACAATGGCGGGTCTCCATACAAACAAATATTTCGAATGAAATTGCATCGCCTGTAGTTGTTGTTTAGTCCACTAGCTGTAGAACTTTCGTAGGTTATATTTTTATGTCACTTTTAATGTATCTGATGCATGAAATAATCATTGTATGCTTATGTACATCTGCATATATAATATCCAATAAGTATATTCCTTTTCCTTAATTTATTACCTCTTTCAACATGTAATGACTTGTAAATTCTAAACCTAAACTAATATAATCGTCAGCGGCCATTCGTGGCCAGACGTTTAGTCTTTATATTTAAACACAGAGAGCAAACGTCTGTCAAGAGTTGTCAAAAACCTTTGTTTTTTTTCCCCCCACTTTATTTATTTTTACTTCTTTATATTCTATTCTATTCTTTATATATATTGATTATGAGCCACAAACTACATTCTTTATTGATTCTGTGGCGACTCCCACATACAAAAAACAGAAACATACTACAACGCCATCTAATGAAGACACACCGAACTACGGAGTAACTACTAAATAAGAATTGCTAATCCTGTATCGCGATATGAAGAATTCCCTCGCCGATTAGCATATATACAACTTCCCAACATCAACCGTTGGGGCCGCGGCCCGCCAGGCATGATCACCTCGCCTGGTCGGAGGATCCTCCCCTTGTGTTGGAGGGACATGACACCCGTTCCTCCACAATTCAGTACTAAGAATTACAAAACTATTATCTGATTACCATATTACTATGAAATATTTACCATATTAGGACACTTTATTGGACAGTATTTGCACTACTTGAAAAGAATGGGCGTGAAATAGTAACACTAAACTGATAAAGGAAATTAAAATAATCAAATAAGCTTATAACATTTTCTTTCTTTTCCTGGGGTTTTACTGACTTAGAAGATAGTTTAAAAAAACGTAGATTATTACTAGATTTCGTTTCCTATGAATGAAATTTTAAGACGCTCAAATTATACTCAACTACGAATTCGCCATTGTTCTTTGGCAAGTAATATCGTATTATAGTAAAAGTATAGGAAAAACTCTGAAAACTGTACATTTGTAATTAAATCATAAAAATATAGTCTTTATTTAAAGTACGTTATCAATCATCGAGGTACAATTTCACTTATAAAACACAATAATATAAGTAATTACAGGTTTTGGAAACTAAAATAAATTTCGGGAAAAGCCCAGAAAAAACCTGCAAGACTCGATACCTGAACTATTTATAATATGTCCCTACCTACAAATTTGTACGGAACCCTAGGTAAGCGAGTCCGACTCGCACTTGTTCGGCTATTTTTAATATTACTATTCGTTTTCATCTTCCTGATCTTTTTTTAATTTTAAAAATTTTCTTCGCAAACATATTAATATATATATATATATTCCTTAAGACACAAGGGACCTTTTTACATGTTAGTTCTTTTTTATCATTTCTTAGATTGGAGAAACCACTGCAATTTACCAGCACTTTGAATGCAATTTGTCTAGAAACAAATGATGAAGATCCGACAGAACCACTGACTATCACTGGTTGGGGGAAAGTCAACAACGCCAGTAAGTAAATAAACGTATCAAGCAAAAATGTTAAAATGAAACTTCACAACCGTGAACAAATAAGTTCATGTATCACACTCCTGTCTTTACTCCTCTGGAGTATTCCTATTACTACCTGACAACATGTTTACAAAGGACAATGCGTTCTTCATGGTAGGGATTATTGTTGTATTTATTTGGTTCGTAATGTCATCGACAGTTACAGTTTTACCTATCAGATTTTTAGAACTTTGCGTTCAAATGTTATTTCAGTTTGGAGCTTATATATAGGCTGTATTGAAGTCGATACCCATGACAGCTGGCTGTCACAAATGAGTTGTCATTGCTGTCAACAAGTTAACGTAGGTACCATAATATAACATTGAATCTTATGAAGCCGTTTAGGCCACAGATTGTGTGTTATTTATTCAAAATAATTTTGTTTCCTTATACTACTAAAAATAGGGTTCCCTCTATCTGGCAGAATCTTGATGCTCCGAAATGTATTTCTCATAACACACTTGGCAGAATCTTCTTCAAAGGAATATTTTTAAGGCATAAAAGTTATTTAGTACAATTATTGTTTGGCCGAATGTTTATATGTCCGAATTTACAATGGCATACTTTTAAGATGGCACAGTTCTATTTAGCATAATTACCTTGGACAGAGTTAAAATTTCGCATATTTTTTTTAACATAACGTTTATTTAGAGCGACGATTATTTGGTACAATTTCAGTTGGAATAATTTCATTAGGCATAGTGCTATGAAATAGCATTTTTAACCTTAGATAAAAATATTATCTTAAAAAGTCATGTCTTGCTACAAAAGTTTCTGACTATGAACTTTCGGCGATACAACGGTTCTACTTCTTAATTATTATGGATATGAAGTTTATGCCTAAAGAAGATTATGACTAACAAAATTATGAGTTTTAAATGTACTCGTATGACAAATGAGTGTCTGCCAAACAATTTTCTGCAAAATAAAGTTTATGCTATCCGTTGTTATGCAAAAAAAATAAGTATACAATAATAATAGTAAACCCTTAAAAATAACCTTGTTGCTTGTCTCAATAGACTTAGGTTAGAATATCCTAATTAGATAAAATATAATTAAGTTATAAAGCCGAAATCGTGGTCTTGGCACATTTCTTGAAAAATCGAAATCCTACCCTTGCTAAGTTCTTTCGCTCTTTTCACTAGTATTGCCTGTAAAACGCACATCATGTTCCTTTTTTAGAATCTAAACGAACTAGAAATGTTGTTAAGATAATGGGAACTATGTCACAGTATTTTTTTCACAGTCAAAGGTTAAAACTCCACGCAATGAATAAAATAATACAAAAAATTCTTGAAATTTTAATATTTAAAGTGTTTCACATTAATAACGCCTACAATAGTAAGTAAATTAAGTAATACAAGTCTCCAGGAGCATGATACAAAAAAATACTAGCGAGAAACATCTTAATTTGTGGTAATGGCAACAGAACGAATTAGCAAAGTAGCAAAACTTAAAAAAATTACTAAAGTGGTCACTATTTTCACATCCTGGCAACCCTGACATGAAAATCTGATTTTCTTATAGCCTGTCAATAGGGCTACCTCAGATTAACGGGTTTTAGTTGGACAAGAAACCAGGATCGCGTAAGCCTACTTTCTTATAACTTTGTTTTGCATTCCAGGGGACACAAGAAGCACCACATTACTGAAAGCAAATGTTACCGTAGTTCAGCGCGGCAACTGTACTGAATCGTATACGAATTGGCGGAAATTACCTTCGGGTATTTCTCCAGATCAATTGTGTGCCGGAGACCCTGAAGGTATCAGGGATACTTGCCAAGTACGTATTGTAAGATTACAAACCAGTTTCATGTTCATATTTAAATCTCATATTGCTTATGCTTCGGCACGAATGGGCCGGTTATACTTCGACTCGACCGGAGTGATACCACGGCCTCACAGAAAACGGGTGTTAAGCAAATCTTTCGTGGCCTTTCACTGAGTGAGTGAGGTTACCGGAGCCCGAATCCCCCCTCCCGCTGAATCGAGCGGGAGTGACTCCAAGGGCAGCAACGCACTTGTGACTTTTGAGTGGCAGGTGTCCATGGGTGCGGGTAATTGCTTACCATCAGGTGACCCGTCTGCTCGTTGGCCCCCTTATACCATCAAAAAAAAAACCTTTTCTAACATAAGCATATTATTTTAGCATGATGTTAGATAAGATGGGTATGATTCCCACCTAGGACAAATAATTGGGTGATGAGCACTTACTTTTCAGGGGAGTCCCTAAGCCCTAATATGCCATGACGGATATAATATAGTAGAGTCGTTACCCAATGTAGTCCATGAGACGCCGCGCTTAACCAGCCCTTATCCCGGAGCATCTGCAAACTTCCCCAAATAACTTTAAACTTAGTATGAACTTTATTTGTAGTCACAAAGTATGTAATAAGTGAAAATACTATTTTGAATTATGTTACCTATAGTGGTGGTAACACCATTTTTGTTTCATATTTGTTATCCATTCTAGTCCACTAGCTACATGTAGGAGTCTCTCATCCGTTTTCTTTGTTGGCCAACGCTCAGAACCATGCGTCTTTCTGATGATTGCTTTGGATATTTGTCCCTTTAATGTAATAGTAAACTTGGGATAAAAACAATAATAATAACTCTGATCCCAAACTAGGCAGAGCCTGTGCTATGGTAACCAGACTGCTGATAAACATACTTATATATTTCTAAAAACATACATATTATAGATAAATTACACCCAGACACAGAACAAATCATCGTGCTCATCAGACGATTAGTTGTCCTGAGTGGGATTCGAACCAATCACAAATAGTTCCTGTTACCTGCCGCCAATTCATCTATCCTGTATTTATTAGATTTTGTACAGACCTATCTATTTTACCATCATTTTGTAAGAGTGAGCCGAGATACTTAAAATCTGTGCAGACTAGAACGCTGTTCCATTCAGTGAAATAGTAGCAAGACTGAAGAAACCGCCGAAATCACAGAACAAGTATTCAGTTTTGGTTCTGCTGTATAAACAGCAAACACCCGCTAGTTGCCTCGCGTTGTGGCGCGAGTGTTGTACTCTAAGCTCTGTTTTCAAAAGTTTTTATATAATAAGGACTTTGTTCAAAAGTGAAACTGTAGATTTTAAATTTTTTCGGCTGTAGATAATTATTTGATTTAAATTATTTTTGTGTAAAGTTATTTAGGCGTCTATCCTAGAATTTCGAATCGGTGACCCGACATCCTGGGGTTGGCACGGAACTAATACCTATAGAATTTTATGCAACACAGTAAATCCTTATTTACTTTAATGCTAGTTATACCTTACTTGGATTGTATGTGCCACGTTTTTTGATGATGCGTCAATTTCTGTTTCTAGGGAGATTCGGGCGGGCCTCTGGTGATCACCTCTGAGGAGGGCCAGGGGAAGAACCGTCTTGTGGGAGTGACTTCATTTGGGCGTGGCTGCGGCTCATCCATACCTGGTGTGTACACCCGCGTCAGCCGGTACGTGGACTGGATAGAGAGTGTAGTCTGGCCCAACTAGACAGTGACTGACTGGATCTCAACGTATCGAACCTGTATTTTTATTCTGTGGACTTGTAACGCACATATCCACAGAATAAATATATACAGTAGTATAATTATTTATTCTGTGTACAAATTATATACATGTTAATTAATTAATTTCATATAGTTTGCAGTGCAACCATCTCGAATCAGGTGCTTGAAGGCCAGTTAATGGCACATCGCGATGTTAGCGAAGGAAAATAGACTTCTAAACACCTCTTTTGTATTTATTTAGGAAAAAAGCATTTAAACGCTTGTCTGAGCCGGGTTTAATATTCTTAGGATCTTTTCTTGAAGGAGGAAGTAAGTCTATCTTAGTTATGTTTTGTATTGAATATTAACCCTTTCACCGCCACATTTTGATATCTATAGTGTACATCCAGGCGCCAGCAGACTATAGGTGTTATTTTTCGTAGTGTTATATAAGATAGGTATCGATTACTTGATAAAATAAATAAAACTCAAACCGTTAACTCAAAACTATATTAAAGATTTTTTTATTAAGCAACTAACATTAAAAAGCTTTCATCATGCATCAGCAAGATATTCATCACGAGAATCTTACCTTAAACTTACCGATTAAGGATCACTGTCAGATAATGAGTCGTGACTATTAATAATAATCGAATAAATATCACCATTAGATTCTAAAATATCTAATCGTCGTTAAACATTACCGATAACTTCCCGATATTAAAACAGTAAACTTACATAAACCATATTCACTTGATCTTGAGCCGCATGTAAAATCACGGTGATGGTGTTCTCGACAGGATTGCACTAGGGACGTTCCAGGATAATTCAGTGTTTTTTCTTTGTTTGATTTGTACACAATATTTCACTTAAACTTTATTTATTCGTAAATAAATAATCAAAATATTAAATACGATGTTATTTAGTTGAAATTTATATTAGTATCAGGGCAATTATTAAATTTGTAAAATGAATTTCTTTCTTTTATACTACATTATCCCAACCCTAGTCTACGTAAAATCACGTGTATGGCGACGCATGCACATCTTAGGTGCATCATGTTTAGAGTATAAATTATGATAAACAATTAACTACTAGATTTTCTCGATCGGTTATTATTTACGAATGTTTTGTTCAAACGTCAGCAATGTAATCAAATAGTTAATAATTTTACATTCGTATGAGATGGTTAAGAAGACATGTAAAAACAGGTAAAAATATTAAAATAATTTTTAATGACCAGATTTGTTCGTTTTTATCGTTTACGACTAGAAACAGAAGATTTTATGTTATCAAATGATAACATCCAGACAACGCATTTTATTTAAACCTTTATTGTTACAATATCTGGAATATTGTTTAGTTATGATTAAAATAAACTGAATGTTAAGTTTTTATGGTAATAAGTGGTACATCTATGATATTTTTTCATAATCGGAGATGAATTCGTTCCATATGAAAAATCCTTGTACTACTCAACAATGGCACAACAACTCTGATTATTAATTTACTTTTTTCGGTAATTAGATATATAGGCTAATTAATGATGGACAAACATGATGCCGATTTTAGTAAAAATAAGAATCAATTTTATTTAAGAAGTTTTTTTTGACTAAAGAAGTAAAAAGTTTAATGAAGACTCGAGTGACGAATTTATTTGTTCATTATTCTAATTTAAAAGTTAGATTTTGACATAGTTATTTTATTTTTTGCAAATATAATAAAATATACATAACTATAGACATTCTTAAACATTTTTAGAAACAAGTTGAACAAATTTTTTGAAAAGAGTGTGGGACTGTGATCCAGGGCTAAACTATAGACAATATTATGACAAATATTACTTCTATCTTAATTATTATGATAACTATAAATAATTGTTGTACAATAAATACTTAAAAAAGTTAAGTTCATTGGAGAAATCAAACACCTGCAACACGTTAAGGAAAAAGGTTTTTGTTGGTCAAGTACTTGACAAACCTCTAATTATAATTTAATTCGAATAGTAGTACAATAAGATCTGTTTTCACTGTTTTTCTTTATTTATTCCAATCATCATCACTATGTGAATTTAAAATAGCCGATACATTTGTCTATGTCGAATATTTTTGTCAAATCTGGGGGGCACTATATGAAAGAGACGTCGATATGAAAGGTCGTCGTGATATCAGTAACGATGGTGGGGTACAAGGACTCTTATGTTATCATTCAAAATGAAAAGGCAATAAACGAACGGGCAGAAGGCAAAAGTAGATAATTCCCACCCAGGACAAGTATTGTGGGATGAGCACGATTATTTGTTCTGTGCCGAGGTGTACTTTATCTAAAATATGTATGTATTTAAATAAAAATAAGTATAGTACATACCATAGTCCAGGCTCTGTCTAGTTTGGGATCAGACGGCCGTGTGTGATATATGTCAAATTATTCTTATAAAACTTTATTTCTGAAATATTACTTTCAAATTAATGCATTACAAAGGATTTGTCACGATCTATTTGGTTTAAATATTTAAAACTTTCGAGTATACCTATAGACGAGTCTTTTATACTCATATTGTAATAACAAGTAGCTAAACATTGTTTATGAATTATATTTTATATATTGTATATAATTATATATTGAAGAGCTTCGACGGAGAATTTTAAAATTTTGATTCGTATCTGCCATATAACAAAAGTAATTGTAAGCTACATTTAATTAGGTACCATAAGTAAGATTTAATGTATCTCAAAAACCGAATTTATGTATTTTTAAATAAAGCGAGATTAAATATCCCATGTATTTTAAGTTGTTTTACCATCTTTTTTCTTATATGTAAAATTTGACTTTTGCATGTTATTAAATTATCCTATTTTATTTAGGCAGAATAAAATGCTTGTTATAAGAATTTGTTGAATTGGTTTATTTTTACACTATACACAGTACAGATGGCCTTCAAACTAAAGTTGTTTGTTTTAACTATTACTGGTTTCACCTTTTTTTTCCTGTGCGGAAATCCTCTCGGATATCACCCACCGGTGGGATGATTATGTCGGAGTCGAACCGACCAAAAGCCGCACGCTGTCTCGGGTACCAGTAGCTGGGGAACCAGGTGTCCCCTAGAAATTAAATCCCTGGTACGGCTGGTACCCCGACGTACCTCGGGCCATCCACGGCGTGTAGATGACCCCCTCCTGTACCGGTTTCACCCTGGTTCACGTTAGAAAATATGCAATCAATATGATTGCATATTTTTGACAATAAAATTGCAATTTTATGACTTGTGCTATCGTTCTTATTACATCAGATTTTTTCCGCTATTGCCCGAACTGATAATGTGAGCTGGATAGTTTGAAATTGTGATTATGTTTACAACCTACGATTAGTGAAGGTTACACAAAAATAACACATCACAAAACAATAGGCTTGTGCCCACTAATAGCAAATTAAGCAATTTATAGTTTCAAATAATAAATGAAGAGACATACTTAGATAAGAAAAAACCAGTATATTTCTCATAAAAGTTAAAATTTCTTCATATTTTTTAAAATAAATTCGAACAAAATAGGCATTACGTCACGTGACAGCCAACACCAATCAGAAAGTGTTAGGTACGTCACGCCACGCAAAACATCATTGTTGTTGTTGACGTTTTCATACACATAGCAGGTTACTCCTTATTGTTTTTCGTTTATAGCATATTTTCTCACCTTAATACAGTTTCAGTTGACACTGGACACAGATGTAAACAGTTTTGTTTAGTAGACTGTGACGTCATTCAAGACGCCATGACACTATTCGGCGTTTTCAAGGGAAATTTATATTGTTTTTTTTAAATAATGATACGTAATGTATAAAATACGTAATGTAAATATTGCTTTTTCTTTAAAATATCGGTTTTTTGGGATAAAATAGATATTAAAGTATATAATAAACGAAGTTTTCAAATTGCGTCAACTAGCGTATTGTATATATTTTTGTGTTATCATAACTTAATCGTAGGTTTTTCGTTTCATCTACACGGTACCTATATTACATATGCCAAAATAACATTTTTTACAATTTTTGTCTGTCTGTCGGTTTGTTCCGGGTAATCTCTGGAACGGATGAACCAATTTCGACGGGACTTTCACTGGCAGATAGCTGATGTCAAGGAGTAACTTAGGCTACTTTTTATAGACTAGCTTCGCCCCGCGGCGTTGCCCGCGGTTATAACAACAAACGCAGGTAACACCGCGGGTCTCAGCTAGTATTATATAAATATGAATTATAAAAATATTTATGGATATAACGTAAATGCTGTGAAAGTTGAAGGTGTTAATAGTGATATAAAAGGGTGCCACTTCACAATCATTGTGACCCTGAACGTGGACAACTGAATTTTATCATAATTTGTTCATTATTTACAGGATACTAATGATACTTCACAGTCATTTAAAACAAGCTACTAAGTAACGTTTAAAGGAAGCCTTTGGAGCTCTTATCCAAAGTGTTAGGACCCACTGAAGTTTCCGCCTACCGGCCCATAGTGTTGCTTGACGAGGTGTGCAAGCTCTTTGAAAGAGTGATTGCAAGGCGCCTCGTCAAGCATCTCGTGATGGTTGGGCCGGATCTGGCGGACAACCAGTACGGTTTCCGTCAGGGGCGCTCCACCGTGGATGCGATCATGCGCGTGAAGGCTCTGGCGGAGGAAGCAGTCTCCCGGGGCGAAGTGGTGTTGGCGGTGTCCTTGGACATCGCCAACGCGTTCAACACTATGCCCTGGAGCTGCATCAGGGAGGCGCTCGTGTATCACGAAGTGCCTCTCTACCTCCGCCGCATAGTCGGGGCATATTTGTCGGAGAGAGCCGTCGTCTACCCCAGTAGGACCGGTCTCGGTAGGCGTGAAATGTTGTGCGGTGTTCCGCAGGGGTCGGTGTTAGGGCCACTCTTGTGGAACATCGGCTACGACTGGGTGCTTCGTGGTGCCTTCTTGGATGGTGTCGCCGTCGTGTGCTACGCGGACGACACACTCGTGACGGC